CGATGCTGCCCCCAACCATGGATGGAGAGGTCGACATCGATGACATCGTGGACCATAGAGAAATGTTAGTTTCAAGACCAACAAGCAGGGGCCGTCCTCCTAAACCGAAGCTGCAGTATGGCGTTCGGTTCAGACATCACACTGATCCTTAGGAGGACAGATGGACAAATGGTTTACCAGGGAGGAATTGATGCAGACCGCTCCACAGGCTGTCGCACACTACGAGAAGTCACTACAGAAAGGAAAGCGCCAAACTGAGTAATGGGACTTCTGAGAGGACTGTCGAAGTATGGAGGAGGGAATGTGAGTTTCAAGACCTCGATACACCCTACTGGGCCCTATTTTCAGTACGGTCGGCCGCCCTAAGTGAATGCAAGCTCGACCAAGGCCTACAGGCCTATTTTTGGAGTCACCACGCAATTGGGGAAATTCAGGCAGTTGCGCAGCGCCAGTTGGTTGAGAGCGCCCAGGCCCAGGCTACCTCTTTCGAATGTAACAGAGGCAGATTCGCAACATGGACCGAATACAGGCCGCGGGCAGTTGGAAACGGGCAACCACCACAGGCCCAGGGCGTGCAACGCTTCGGGCTATGACTCACAGTTGCGCTGGGATTCGTGCCAGGTTGAGACCGAACCCCAACTTTATGGAACGTACAACTATGTGTTGACTCCTACTAAAATCATATTGCTCTGCCTGAATTCGTGCCAGATGTGCAACGTTTCGGGCTATGACTCGCATTTGCGCTGGGAGTTCGGTCTGGGCGGCCAGTTGCTCTTCTATATTCTTTACTTCCTCTTAATTCTTCTGCCGCCTCCGCTGCCACGTCCACTCTCCTCTTCTTCTCCCTCATCACTGCCAACTTCCACTCCATCCTCTCTTCATCTTCCAATGCCTGCCGCTTCACAAAATCCCTTTCTGCTTCCCAAGCTCTCATAGCGGCTTCCTGATCATCTTTGGAGATATACATCGCCACCTCTTCCTCTTCGCCCAGGGATAAGTTGGCGACCCACTCGGAGATTCGCTTCTCCATCTCTTCATCCCTACTACCACTGTACTGCACCCTCTTCCTCTGCAATGGCGTTTCATCTTCTTCCTCCTCTTCCACCTCTTCAACTTCTCTTCTTCTTCTTTCTGTATCCTCTCCTTCTCTTTGGCCATCTCTTCCTCTATCTTCTTCAGTTTGGCCGCCTGCTCCTCCTTCAAGGCCTTCTTCTTGGCCTCCTTCTCCTTCTTCTCCTGCAGAATGGCGGCCATCTTCTCCTCCTCCTCCTTCGGTGGGGGTTGGTGGAAGTACCACCACGAGTGGGCCCTACTCTACATGTGAAAGTGGGCCAAAAGCCCAGAGGAAAGAGGAGACGCCAAAGGGTCCCCCAGAGGGAGAACCCAACAAGTAGCCCATACATCGGATAGTCATCCATTGTGGTGTTGGTGCACGACAAAGGTCCCACTCCTCACCACGTAGACCTACCCGGACACTAACCTACCACAGGATAAGACCATGTCAATGATGATCACAACTAACCCAATGTCACTACAGGACCAAGAGCTGATCAGGAGGTATTTAAGAAGATCCCCCAAACTTCGCAAGAATTCTTTAACGTCGGAGACAGGACGACGCGATCAGCTTGGTTCCTCTGGCGATTTCAGCCCACAACTCAGCCCGTCTAGCGTCCTGTGCCACACCGAGCAGCCCGCCGGTCAGTACCGGTCCTTGGAGGGGTTCGTATCCCTCGGGACAGTCGAGTCGTCAGACACGGATCATCAGCCTTCTGGGTCCGGTAGGGGAGTGGCTCAACCAGGCCTCAACACTTGAAGACGGCCTTCGTTTCAGCCTACAGCTCGGAGTTCAGACCCTCCACACTGAACTCAGTAGACCTGCCGGACAGTACCGGTCATTGGGCTAGACGAGTTGTTTAATGAGCGCTCGCCGCTCATGCCCAGGTCTCCAAGTGCCAGAGTAGAGCTTTGGTCCTACTAAGCCCATGCAGGTTTGGCAGCAAGGCCCTATCCTTCATCCACAGAGTCCTAGCACCTAAGACACAAGAGACTCAATGTAGAAAGAGTAGACATACAACTCAGCAAGTACCGTGGGGTAAGTGCACATCCACAGGGTAAGGGGATAGGCTAAGGGCTCAGCGAGATATCACCAATTCCAGCTTGGTCAAAATCTTGGTCAGCAGCTGCGGTCAATGCCTTGGTCAACGCTGAGTCAATGCGGACAACCCCGAGTCGACGCTTGGTCAACACCCTCGGTCAACGCCTGGTCAACCCTTTGGTCAACCCTTGGTCAACGCTCTGGTCAACGCCTGGTCAACCCTCTGGTCAGCCCTTGGTCAACGCTCTGGTCAACGTCTGGTCAACCCTCAACCTCGGCTATGGCTGCCGGCACTATCACCTTTGTCATGGCTGCCGGCACTATCACCTTTGTCACCCTCGCCGTTTTCTTCCCCTTCCTTCACTTTCTTTCTTCTTCTCCTTCGCTGTATATATATATTTCAGCCTCCTGATGAGTCGGTGAAACTCCGACGAAACAGTTTGTCACAGCCCCTCGTTTGTTGTCCTCTTCTCCCTCTCTGCCTACGGTTTACCGGGCAGTTCTATTTGACGATATATATATATAAATTTTTCTACACACCCCCGGCTATGTCTGTCTTCTTCTTCGTTCTCCTCCTTCCACACCTCTTCTTCTCTCTCCTCAGTCCCTCCTTCTCTGTCCTCCATTTCTCTCTCCTCCGTTACTCTGTATTAATACTCCGCGGTTATAGCCGTTTTCCTCCTCCACCGGACTCCATGGCTCGGCTCACGGGTAAGTGACAACCAATCTTGGATCGCTCATCTCTCTCTCTCTCTCTTCCGCCGTAGTGGTATCTTCAGCGCAGCAGGTAAGTAACCAATCTTGTATCACTCATCTCTCTCTCTCGTGGTCTCCTTGTTGCAGGTGCGCGGCTTCTCCTTCCACCTCGAGGTCCGCTATGGCGGACTACCTCCTCCAGCGGCACTTCAGCTATGGCCGATCGGCCCTGCACACATCGCGCGCATGGAACAGCGGGTACCTGCTCTGATACCAGTGCATTCACACTCCGATTATTCACACTTGTCTTGCATGCAAACAGCGATACAGCAACTGGCGACATGCGCCCTGACAGTACTTAAGATATCGTAACCAGATATGAGTTCTCTTCAACTGGCTATGGCGACTGGGCGCCCACACAACTCACTGTTCGCACTCTGGATCACCCTGGATTTCCCACATGCAACACTCAGTATCATACGCAACACACACACACGCTATGCTACAGCTATGGCAGCGCTAGCTGCCACTACCTATCGCTACACTACACTTCTCTGCCCACTTCGTCTTCGGGCACACTGCAGACCTCCTCGCACAAGCTGCTAAGGCAGCACTTCCGCATGGCATCCGCAGGAATGAATGAATGGCTGGACGCAGCCTCTTGATTTATACTT